TCATTAAGCATCTCAGTATCCTGCTTAAGACTGTGCTGCTTCTTCTAATTGAAATGATGCAGTTTGTCCCCTGGCGGAGTAAGGAATTGCTTGCCGGGGGCACTAGGACGCCAAGAAGCCTAGGTCTTGGATGAGTTATAGAAGAAGGAGGTCAGGAACAGAGAGAGGGAGATGAGGAGAGGCTGGGGCGGAGGGAAGATGATCAGGGTCCTGGGAACAAGGAGAAGACACAGTGGTGTGAGCTGTGAGAAGTGCCAGAGGGCAGTCGAGATCACCCCACTTCATACATTTGTCAAGGGCTGGCAGACATGTGTCTTACTTAGCAGAGCCGTTGCTCTATCAGTCTGAGCGTGTGTTTAAAGGCTCCTACCTCCTCATGTTCCTTGTGCTAACTTCTTGCCTGCTTGTCCACAAGAGGGAGGCAAGGGAAAGGAGAGAAGGAAATCCTACAAGTCCAGCTGGCTCTTTGCTGGCAGCTCTGGTCAAAGGTTTGCTGTGGAGGAAGCTGAAAATTCTGATTAAAATAAGACTCCCTTTCACAGAAGCTCGCAGGTCTCAGCTGTGTTTTCCTTGAACCCATTACCTCCGCAGAGAGGATCCCTCCCAAAGGCTGTGTGTTATTCAGAAAGTCATACTTCACGGCCTCTCAGGAGGGCTGAGACAAATGTCACACCTGGCTGGAGGCTGTGCCAGCCTCCTAGCAACGCCCCCAAATGGGTTCAGCAGCAGAGGACACAGGTGTGAGTGCAGTGGAGAGAGGTGGCCGCCATCCAGGTAACTTGGCCCCATGGCATGCCACTCCACAATATAGATTTTGCTGCCAGGGCTCATAAAGCATTGTGTTAGGCATTGGGAGAAGGTATTAAAAAATAATTCTCTTTGCCCTTAGGGAATTTTCATGTAATTCAGGAGCTAGTGAGCCAAGGGACAAAGGGGCTTAGGGTGGCAGAGGGGAAAGAGCATTGCAGTAGGATCTGCAGATGTAGTTTATGCCCTGGTCTGCCATTAATTATAAGTGTGACTTTGGGCCAAGCTATTGCAGTTTTCTGGGTCTCCTTACTCCCATCATGGATACATTTAAGCTGATGGACTGGGTGATTTTAAAGTTCTCCATTTCTGGAACCCTGAGATTCTAATTTAGATGTGGGGATATGAACATCTAGGCCATGGAGGAAGATTCTTCTACTAGCAGTGTCAGATTTCTCAAATAAAGTATGGGATGCCCAGTTCATTTGGATTTCAGATAAACAATGAATAAATTTTTTTAGTGCATTGTCCCATGCCATATTTGGGACATACCTATACTATGAAATTATCTGCTGTTTATCTGAAATCCAAATTTACTGGGCATTCTATATCCTATTTGGTGACTTCTGCCTTCCACCAAACATATCTGCCCCTCTCACTAAGTGGGGAGGGTGTTTCTGTCTCTCTCCATCCTTTTACTGGGACCTTCTGATTACTCTGATTGGTCAGAATCTGCAAAATTCCTTGGCTGCATTTGACTGACAAGGATAACTGTGTTTAAGGCAAGGCCTTTGACTTCCTTTGGCTTACACTGCCTAGACACAAGCGCTGAGGTGTCTCTTCCTCTCCCTCTCTCTTGAAAGAGCCCCCGAGCAGGGCTGCTCATGGGGAAGAGGTAGATAACTCTCCCTTTGTCCTGCTGCCCACCACAGAACACATCCATCCCAATGATTCAGTGGACTTGCAGTCCGTTCTGAGGGCCCATTTATCATAGATATGCCGGAGTGTTCTGGTTCCAAGGTATAGATTTGGGAGGGGAGCAAAGGCCCCGTTTATCTTAAAATTTAATCTTTTTTTCTTCAGTTTAGCTTTCACCAGTGAACTCTGCATTTGGGGGATTATTGGGTGCTTGCTGGCCTAGTAATAAACTGATAATTTCATTCCCACCGGGCCAGTGCATTTCTGTGTTTTCCTGTCTGACCTAGAAGGGAGGAGCTTTGAGACTCAGGTCCCAAGCCTCGTACATGGTTGTTTTCTCTACGGATCAGACTTATTGGCCTATCTAGATCCAGCCCCAAATGAAAAAAAAGAAAAAGAAGAAAAAAGAGTGAACAGCATGTGATGTCATCAGGCTAGAACACGTGAGAATGGTCAGATACAGGTCATCCTGGGACACTTCTCATTTACTTAGAGAAATGATCTGGGAACTTTATGTTGTAAATGACTGCTTGCTATATGAAAGACAATGGGGAGGGCTCTAGTCCGGTTATCCAGCCCTCACAATTCTAGTTATAGACCTTTACAATGAGATGATTTTCGGAAGATATCTCTTGATATCCAGTGGATGCCGTCATTCTAGTCATTGGGAATTTCCTAGTACAGGTTCTTTATTTCTTGCTTGGACCTTTGCCACACACAGCATTTTAAGTCCGTGCCTCCTATACTTGGCTTTCCTAAACCCAGGTCTGATTATGTCACCACGCTGCCTAAAATCTTACCCTTTCCTGCAGAAGCAAGTCCACAAAGACTTAGCAGGCAGGTATGACACTCTTTGCGTTTCAGTTTTTTTTCCTGCTATCACCCTCCCTGCCCCCAGGCTTCTAGGTTGTAGCTTAAATAAAGGTTTAGTTGTCTCCTAAATATTCTCCAACACATCTCCAAACCTTTGCACAGTTTGGCCCTTCCACTTCTAATGCCCTTCCTCTTCTCTCTCTGGTGAACATTTTATTTTGAGAATTAACTCAAACGTCAGCTCTCCAAATTCTTCTTGAATTTCCTTCTCCCCGGTTCAGTAACAGTTCCCTTCTTCTGTGCTCTCAGATTCTACCCTATTGCATTGCAACCAGCGGGCCAGGTATCTGTTTCTCCCTCTTGTCTAGGAGCTCCACGAGGGCAAATATCTTGTGTCTTTCACCTTTGTAGTCCCTCTTCAATGTCACATGCCTTTCCTATTTCCCCTATTACAGCACCCAGCACAGCAGGGGCATCCAATAAATGACTGTTGCATGCATGAGGACAATAGAATACGGCCCAAAGAGCTGATATTTGAGTTAATTGTGGGATGTGTTTGAATTGTCAGACGAAATAAATCTTTGGGGTAGAAATGACTGCATTGAAATGTTAGTATAGGAACATGGGGCAGCCCATAAAGACCCAATAGATACTATAATTTAAATGAGGGATATTAAATCTTTATCTCAAGGCACAAATCAGAATAGAGCCCAGCACGAGACCCTTGTAACAGGATAACATCAACATTAGTATTAGCATTAGGTAATCCTTCCTTCTTTGTGGTAGAGAATGCCTGTTTTGGTATCAAATCACATCTCATCAACACGTGTGTTGTGACTTATAGAAAGGGTTATTTTCTTTGCCATGTAAGATTCAGTGGATCAGCAAAAAAAATCTCTGTTGGCAAGTACTTTGTGAGAGGCTGTGAAACTGGTCACAGGAGTAAAGGGTATTTTTTTGGCACTTTGCCTAAATGAAATCTGGAGGGATACCTCTTCTAATACTTTATTTCCTTCAGTACACATTTAAATTTAGCTCTCAAAGCCTAAAGGTCTTAATGGGAAAACCCACAAAGCTAGAAGCACTCTAGAGAAAAGCACTGGACTTAAGAGTCAAGAGTCTGGTCCCAGCTCTGATACTAACCCAGTGGGTGATCCTGGGGGAGTCACACAACCTCTGAGGGCCTCAGCTTCTCCATCTTTATATCAAGAGGGTTCTACTAGGGATCTCTGAAGATAGTTCTCTGCTTTATCATTTTGATCTTACATGCTGCTCTGTAGGGACAGATTGTGAACGTAATGAAGCTTAAGCTTCAGGGATCTTTGCTTGCACAGCTCTTTTCGGAAGCCCTGGGAAGGGCCCCATAAGATCTTTCACATGGTCGTATATTTTTGTAAAGTTCCAAAAGTAAAATATTTTAACTGAAATTGGTTACGACAGCTGTCTCTTTTTACTCCCTCTCCCCCTTCATTATAATTCCCCAGGTGTGGGGTGGCCTTGAAACGGCTGTGGGCATTTTTGGGATTCAGATAAAGGGAAATTGTGTTGAGGATATTAATGATACATTTCTATGTAGTCTAGAGTTACTTTTGTGTAGAGTTACCTTGTTACTAGTCATTCTAACCTAGGTATGGCTTCCAAGAATATTTCATGCCATCCAGCACACACAAGAGCAAGTCAAATACATTTTTAAATTGTGTCTATAACATTTTGAGCTACATAAGAATATAATCAAATTGCTCTTCTACTACGTCTGTCACCTTACTGATGAATATAGGAGTTCTGCCACTAGAAGCCTTGTTTCTTCAGGACTTTTTAATGCGTTATATCAATGCATGCTCCCTCACCAGTGTGGCATGAAGGTGCAAGGCACACATGGTGCCATGGAATGAACTTATCCTACAACTCTTGGCACTGGAAGCATGTGGGGATTGGGAGAGAGACAAGTGTGAAATGTACAGAGCCAGAAGCTAGTCTGTTGAAAATTCTTCCAGTCGTCTGACACATAAAGTTATAAATGCAGGTTTCAGTTCTCAATGATGCCTAAACAAAATGGAAATGTTCTTCCATCAGAAATATACTTAATAATGTAGCATATACAATTATAAACACACTCTTTTCTCTATTTTTTTATTATATGTGCTTGAAATAGAATTTTCCAGAATGCCTGTGTTTGTAGGAGCAAAAACCTTTAAGTACTATAAGCAGTAAGTCTGTGATTTTGTAGGTTTTATGCATCTCAAAATAAGTCTTAGCATATCTGACACATCTTGTCAAGATGAATTGTGCTGGTTTTAGATGAAACAGCATGCAGTATTGACACAATGCATTAAAAAGTCTTCAAGAAACAAGGGTTCTAGTGACAGAACTCCTATATTGCTCAGTAAGGTGATGGATGGAGAATAAGAGTAGTTCGATTATACTATTACACAGCTTAATATATTGTAGTCACAATTTAGAAATGTATTTGACTTGCTCTTGGGCATGCCTTAATTTCGGATTAATTTTGTATCTATTTTCAGAATGGTTGATACACTAAAACTCAAAGACGAAAGGAAGGATGTATCCTATTGGAAACTGATGATCTAAACTAAAAGAAAGGAGAGTAGCAGAGACTTCAAAATGTTGAAAACTCTCGTATCACAACAGAAGCTAAAAACTCTGATGGCCGGAGTCATAAAGACAAGAAACAGGATCACAACAGCAAGGAAAATATAGATAAAACAATAACAGAAGAGAGAGAAAATTTATGTAATTTGGGACATTCCAGGACAAAGAACAGAAGAACAGGAGGAGGAAAGTAATGGTCTGCACGAGGACATGGACTACAGAAAAGTTAATGACTCGGTCATTGTGTCAAAGGGTATTTAAATTAGCCACTGATGGGCTTCCCTCGTGGCGCAGTGGTTGGGAGTCCGCCTGCCGATGCAGGGAACACGGGTTCGTGCCCCGGTCCGGGAAGATCCCACATGCCGTGGAGCAGCTGGGCACGTGAGCCATGGCCTCTGAGCCCGCGCGTCCGGAGCCTGTGCTCCACAATGGGAGAGGCCACAACAGTGAGAGGCCCGCGTACTGCAAAAATAAATAAATAAATAAAATAAAATTAGCCACTGCTCAAGAAGCCTGAAATACCATGACTCTTTTAGCTCATAGGAGAAGAAAACTGGATAGAGCTTAGCGCAAATTTGACAAAACTCTAAAAATGTTACATGACACTGTAATGAGTTGGAAGTTGGAAAAAACTTTTCTAAATTATCAATAATGAAAAAACAAATTTCTGCTAGACTGAATTATCTTTCTCATCTCCTTATAGAAAGACTGCAGAACAAAGTGGCTTATCATATAAAGAGATGACTACAGATTTAGAAAAATATTAAACATGTATTTTAGGCAGCTCATTAGGGAACATGTTTTGTCATTTTCCCCCCCTGGATTTTGTGATGTTTGTGGAATTTTTCAGTTTTAGAAATTAGTATTTTATTATGATTTCTTACTTCATTGGAAACAAATGTTCAATCTGTGCTCAGTTCTTGTCTGTGATTTTGTATTTCTTTCGGTAAAAAGGGCCCCCAAATTCTATAAGCTTTAGGCCCCACAAGAACTGGATCTGTTGCTGCTCATCTGATAGCATCCTTTATAGAGCAGTGTTTCTCAAGCCTTAATGTGCATTTGAATCCCTTGGGGGTCTTGTTAAGATGCAGCTCCTGAGATTCTGTATTTCTAACCAACTCCCAGGTGGTGCCCACACTGCTGGTCTAGGGACACACTTTGAGAATCAAAGATCTAGAACAGTGGTTCCTGTCTGGCTGTGCATTGGAATCACTTGTGATGCTCTTAGAAAACACAGATGCCTGGGCCGTACCCTTGAAGATTCTTACTTAGGAGGTCTAGATTGGGGCCCTTTAGCTATATTTTTTTCTTGTTTAAAAATTCCTTAAGTAGGGAAATAGGCCCTTTGATACACTGTTGGTGGGAATTCAAACTGATGCAACCATTTTGGAGGTTGATTTAGCAATATCTTCCTGGAAACCCAAAAGAAGCCAGCTTGTAAGGCAGTCTGGGAAAGGGAATTTACAGATTCCTACCCCAGGGTGGGAAAAAAAAAGTGTGGGAGGATGGGGTTTGGCTGAGAGACAATAGATATATAATTGGTACAGGGTACATTCTCTGTGACCCAGAACTTCCACTTCTAGGAATTTATCCTAGTAATATTTATACGTATCAAGACATATGTATAAGATTGTTTAATTCCACATTATTTGTAGTTGGGGAAAAGTAACAGTAACCTGCCCATCAATAAATTATTCAAATCATGAAACATCTTTACAATGAAATAAAAATAGCTAATCTTAGTTAAACAATTACTATGTGCCAGACATTGCTCTAAGTTATTTATAAATATTAACTAAATTTATCTTCACAATTATCATGTTTCCATTTACAGATGATGTAATTTATATGTATTGACATGGAAAGCTGTCCAGGGATATAACAGGCAAAAAGCAGCTAGCAGAACATTACATATAGTATATCATGCATTACCATTATAATACAATAGCAAAAAGTGATATATTAAAATCTGAGACACAGTCCCAGTAGATAACTACTGATCTAGAATAGGAATGAAAGGACATTCAGTTATACCAAACATGGTGTTTTCATGCAATTTGATGAACTGGTAACACTTTCAGAAGAAGAGAAAGTAGAAATGATTAGGTTGATTTGCTGGTTTAGAGTATTCTGTCAATGGTCCGACGGATAGTCATTCTGAATGATCTCAACATTAGGGATGATGGGAAGAACTGACCCACAGATGTTCCTATATCTCATTTCTTTAGGACACACTCTTGGGAGAAACACTCCAGTGCAATTTGTCTGGGCTTCTCGGTTGCTCTTTGCCTTATGCTGTTTCACCTTAGTAAGCTCATTCCACGCTTACTTTTAGTCCATGGCAAGGTTTAAAAAATTTTCCAACACTTTATTATGGGAATTTTTAAACATACAGAACAGATAAAAGAAATCTACAGAGAACACACGTATCTATCATCGGATTGTACAGTTAACATTTTACTATACTTGCTTTATTACAAATCTACTTATTTCTCTATGCATCCATTGATCCACTTCATTTTTGGGGACACATTTCAAAGTAATTTGCTGACATCAATCAGTACATTTTTCCCTAAATGCTTCAGTATACATATCAACAACTATAGTTTAATATTTATTTATAGTTCATTTTCTTTCCCTGTGAGGTAAAATTTACACACAGGAAATGCACAAATCTTAGGTGAACCATTTGATGAGTTTTAACTAATGTGTGCATCTGCATAACTCAAACTTCTGTCTAGAGAGAACTTTACTGTACCTGCGAGTTCCCTCATGCCTCCGCCCTGGGGTACTTCCCTGCCTCCGCACCACTCCCCCACCAGACAATCACTGCTCTGATTTTTTTCCATCACAGATATCCATTCTAGAACTTCATGTAGATAGAATAATACAATATGTCTTTCACTCAGCGTAACGTTTTTGCGTTTTTGTGATTCATCCATGGTATTGCATGTCCCCATTGTTTGTTAAGCATTTCCTTATTTTCGGGCATAAGATGATGTTTCAGGTTCAACTTGTACTTTCCCTGTTCTAGGCCTGGAATCAGCCATTTTCCCAAGGACCTCTGGTTTCCTTTAATAAAAGGTATATTCAGAGACCAAGATTTGGGCACTCAATGTTTTAATTGCTACTGGGGTGTCATTGCTTTTAGGCTCATTCACTCCGTGGACAGACATAGGAAATACACACACACACACGTACACACACACATATATATGAGATATATATGTGTGTTAATATATGTATATATACATACACACATATACATCTGTAACTATTTCTGTATTTATCTGGGTGTATGTATATATTCACACACACCAACACACATAATAATAAAAGCTAAGTTCATACTGATACTGTGGTTTCAATCCAAACCCTCATGGTTTTCTAGACTTCCTGTTTCAATGTTTGTAAATACCTTCTCTGGCAATGAGAATTTTGGCTCCTATTATGCTAGTATATTTACTTATTGGCTCAATCTCCCAACCACGCCCGCTGTCTCTTCCGCCCACCACCTTCACATCCCGCCTCTTTACCCTGTGTCTCACCGCCTCCTGCCCTGCATCCATGCCTCTGCATGGCTTCCGCAACCCTCTCACTATCCTGTGATTTCAGTTGCTGTGCTGAGTTCTCCATGCTGGGAAGGGAAGCAGAGGGAGCAGGCAACACGTTTTGAAGGGATGAAACCCAAGTGAACAAAACCATTTACTCCTTTTGCAGTAGTTCTATTTCTTAATTCCTGTTCTTAAATTTTTTTTTTTTTTTTTTTTGGCTGCGTTGGGTCTTTGTTGCTGTGCACGGGCTTTCTCTAGTTGTGGTGAGCTGGGGCTACTCTTCATTGCAGTGTGAGGTCTTCTCATTGCGGTGCCTTCTCTTGTTGTGGAGCACGGGCTCTATCATGTATCTATCAATGGTCAGACAGATAGTCTGCTCTAGGAACGTGGGCTTCAGTAGCAACATGCGGGCTCAGTAGTTGCGGCTCGTGGGCCCTGGAGTGCGTGAGCTTCAGTAGTTGCAGCGCCCGGGCTTAGTTGCTCTGTGGCGTGTGGGATCTTCCCGGACCAGGGAATGAACCTGTGTCCCCTGCATTGGCAGGTGGATTCTTCACCACTGTGTCACTGGGAAGTCCTGTTCCTAAATTTTTACAGAGAAAAGCACTGAGTCTTTAAAAAAAGAGAAAGGGAACGATGGAGTGGAGCAAGTTACAATTTTATTTAAAGTCCCAAGCAGAAGACTTATTTTTAAGGATTTAATTAATTAATTAATTATAACATCTTTATTGGAGTATAATTGCTTTACAAGGTTGTGTTAGTTTCTGCTGTATAACAAAGTGAATCAACTATATGTATACATATATCCCCATATCCCCTCCCTCTTGCATCTCCCACCCTCCCTATCCCACCCCTCTAGGTGGTCACAAAGCACAGAGCTGATCTCCCTGTGCTATGCGGCCCAGGCAGAAGACTTTTAACAGGCTATTAGAATGATAACCTGTGCTTGCTGTGGAATCAGCTCAAAGCCTTCCTGATGTTGCCCAGCACGGGCTAACGCTGCTCTGTAACAAGTGAACACACTGATGGCCTTCAAAGGCGTCAATCAGTCATAAGGAGTATTAGCAGAAGCTTCCATTGCCGAAGTGTTGGCTGTCCTTGGGCGGGCACAGCAGGCGAGGGTCCCAGCCATTTGCCCCAGTCCTCCGGCCTTGGCATTCACGAGGTCTCAGCTGTGACAGGCCTGTAGGCATCAAGGTCGGGCTTTCACCCAGCTTCCTTGGGGTTTCTCATCAGAGCCTTTGCCTATCACCTTAGGGGGGAAACCCTGCCACAGTTCCTTTCACATTTCCTAAGTCCAAGAAATAATCTGGCTTTTGGAAAACAATCTGATAACTCTTTCTGGAAGTTGTGGGAGGTAGCGACCCCTTGAGTGCACCAAGCAGCGTGTAGGGTTGGTTCTTTCATTTCGAGTAGCTTAATTTGCTTATCAGATTGCACAAAGTTGGGTGCTCTCAGGGTCTGCTTCTATCTCTGGCCACACACTTCCTTCTGACCAGGGAACCCACTTGATCATCTCTGAAATATGCCACATTTGTAGGCTTAAGGCAGCCCTGACCTAAAATAAGGATGGCAGATTTGTTTCAAGACATGTAGTAGCTCTGATTAATTGTTCGCGTAGGCCTGAGAGAGCTGTATAGTAAAGGACTTTGTGGCCTCATCAGGGCTCAATAGGAAAGAGTACTGTAATTGATTAGTTATGTCTGCCGTGAGCATGGCAGGGAGGACTGGGGTAGATGGGCACCATATTTGTC